CCAAGAGGAATGAAAAGAAACACCTTTTCTTTTTTCATCCTTGTTTTGCAGATGGGAAACTCAAAGTTGAGTTTCCTTACTCCTTTGGAGTATAATTCTTAAGCACTGGAACTTGTTCAACCTTCACACTCCGAGGAGGAGCTGTTTAATATTTTTCTTCATGTACACATGCCTATTCCACCATGAAAAATCCCTGTTAAGTACAGCAGACTATGAATAGGCATGAGTGGGATGCAGGGAGAGCTGTTAATTAGGAAACTATTTTACACCTGGGTTTATACTATAAGAGAGGAAAAATGGTCAAAGGTATCTTATGTTCAGACTTTCTTTGCCTTAAGAGACAAGTCTGACTTGTGTTCCAAGTGTTGATGTGAGCTGCCAGAAAACCAGATGCCTCTGGTCTTTAAGGTGAAATCTGATGCATCTACCTTGTCCTCCATACCCTATGGACCAGACTTCCAAGCCAAACCCAATGAAACCACTACTGGGCTGTCTCCACCTCTATCTCACTTTGTTAAAGCTCTTCAACAGCAACACCCCTGTCAGGAGGTGGATAAAAACTTTGGCCCTACCTGAACCCATAAGTCTTTTGCTCTCAATGACCTCCAAGAGATCAAACAAGATCTGGGAACGTTTTCAGACAACACTGCTAAGTATATTGAGATCTTTATGGGACTTACGCAGACTTATAAACTGGACCTGAAAGCTATGATGTTGTCCTTAAGTAAAATATTGACTTCTAGTGAGAAACAGGCAACATTACAAGCTACTGTTACATTTGGAGACAAATATCATACTGTTAATTTTAAAAGACCAGAAGACAGAGAACGAGGGAAAAAAACCAGTTCCTCCTGGAGCCCAAGCACTTCCTATACAGGTGCCTACAGTCTGTCCCTGTAGAAGGAACAGTTACATGCAGCTACCAAAACAGCAGTCGTGTGAAAGAAATATCTGTGGCTGTAAAAAGAACAATGAGAAGGCGGTGTAGGTCCCTTTTTAAAAACATTTTTTGCCTCCACTGGTGAAAAAGTGTTTTTTCCTTCTGATACTTACTCAGCGATCTCTGTTAATTGATAACCTATAGGAAAAGTGTTACCTAGTCTATTTATAGTTATGAACCTAAAAACTGTAAAAGTGTTGTCCTGGTTCAATTTGGCCAGTACATCTGAGAGTGCACTCGGACTTAAATTAATTATTTTGTGTTTTTGTGTTTGCCCATCTGTCAGTTCCGTGTGTGTTCATGAGCTGTTAAAGCCCCTGTTGCTGCTTCATTGAATACAAATATTTTTTGAGCTCCAGCATTTCTTCTTCTTCTTCTTTTTTTTTTTTTTTTGGTTCTTTCTGACATTTCAATGGAAAATCCATCTTGTAGGTTTGCAGGGTAGCCGAACTTATTTAAAACACTAACAAATGAGGACTGAGAGCCTCAAGGTTTACATAGGAATACAAGTCTTACATTTTTAAAACACAAAGGTTACATATGATTTAAGTTAATATGTATTTCTAATGAATCCTAACTTGTAAGGATACATTACCCTCCAAAAGTTTTATTTGCATTGGCTTATAGATAAATAAATATCCATGACATTTCAGATACTTGTGGTTCATATAGTTTAACAGTAAGGTAAGACTGAAGAGTCCTTTAAAGTTAGTAATGTATTTCCATCCAGGTTGTTAGATAACCAAGATCATATAAAAAATCAGTCTTATAAATGCAACTCAATTATTGTCTGTGTACCATAATTAAAGAGGTCTTCTTGGCCAACAAAACATATACAGCTTTAAATAAATAGTATCTGTTATGATGAATGTTATAAAGTAGTTGCTTTTAGTTATAATTAAAAGATTAAATTTTCTATATCAAACAATATGGCTTTCTAAAAATATGTACGTGCTCTTGGTTAAACTTACAAAACTACATTTAAAAACAAAGACTCTATATTTTACTAACATAGTGTTTTTCATTGTTAGACTTTTGGTCACTAAAAAGTGAGCTGTAATTGTTAGTACTTGAGTGTTGAATGTGTCTTAGTTACTTTCTTCTTGTTACTGAGACAAAATACCTGACACTCAAAGGGGGGAAAGGGGGCACCAAGGTGGCAGAGTGGTTCGCTGCAGAGAAAGAGCCTCTCCGAGAGTCACTATCCTGAGGTTGGAATAGAGCAACGTGAGGAAGACAAGAAGGATGGAAGTGGTCCCCCTGGATTCAGGAATAACAAGGAGCATGAACTGAAGCTCACAGAGAGAGTAAAGGGAGAAACTTCAATGAAGCAGAAGGAGGTATGTAGTGGTGCCTTCTCCCTGAGATGGGACTCACTGTGTAAGAAGAGTGATTCAAACCTGCAGACACATGGTGACTGTCCTGTGAGAGGACATCTAGACACAGCCTGTAACAATATGGGAAATGCTTTGGATGAAAACCTATTACCTTAGTTTGTGACATAACTTATATTATATATTTTATTTAGATACTGTGTGTGTGTGTTCTAAAAACAAGCTATGAGATAGGTCTAAATTTTGAAGTTAAATTTTTTTTTTTTGCTACCAGAAATTGAACTCAGAATCTTGCACTTGTAGGCAGATCCTTGTGCCACTGAACTTAAATTTATGGGGTTAAGACTACGTAAGTTTGGTACTTACAAAATACCTAATAGGTATTCTCTTTTATATGTGTCCTAGACCTTAGACATATCAAATGATCAAAATTTTAAGTTTGGTCCTGACATCTAAACTTGATTGTCACTTGTTGGTTTTCATCAGATGGGTGTTTTTGTTGTTGTATAGATGAGATACACTTGTGTATTTTGGTAGTGGGTCTGTTGGTGTTCATTAACACTGTTTCCTAAATTTATCATAACTATAAAGATGTCTAATTCTTTTCAGTATGGTTTCATGTCATAAAACGTGTTGAAGGAGTCTAAAATTTGTCTTAAGAGTAGAAACTAAACATATGTGAAGATTTCTATGTTGCTGCTACATTAATTATTGTTAACCTCACAATGTATCTAGTGGTATATTTGTGTTTCTCAGGTGTACAGGCCTTCAAAGATACAGGGTTGGAAAAGGTCTTAGCACACTGGTGGCTTCTAGCTAAAGTTGTTTATGATAATAAACTCTTTTAGGCTCAAGCATCTGGCTTCCTCTTACATGTGTCGCAGCTGTTTGTGATGAAATGTACACGCCAGTCCAACGTGAGACAGTCAGCCAGATGACGTGGATACTTTTTGAAGGACTGTGCTTCAAAAAGTTATGCTATGATTGTTATGTGTCTGTTATATGTGTTACAACACTTAAGAGATGCTCAAAAGCTGTGCAGTCTGGGCAGTGTTACTCTGACAATTGAAAGGTGGGACATTAATAACCTGTAAGTACATCTATGCAGATTCTTCTTAGATGACACTATTAAAGGATGACAAATTTAGGGAAAAGATTTTATGTCAGATAATAGACTAAAAGTTCCTGTCTACTAAGCTGGGAATTTAAATGTATTTCAAATAATAACAAAACCTAATAGTCTAATATAATAATGTCATTGTAATTGTTATACTAAAATGTTGTGTTGCCCTTGACTCCAATTGTTATCTGCTAACATTCTACAGGGATTCAACTTCTATGACAGTAGTGACTGGTAAGGAAATAACAGTTTCTTGGTCACATTATATATTTCAACTCTTCTCCTAGGGTTCAACAACTGAGGTTTGAAGCCCAGAGCCAGAAAAACTACTGGGCTAAAAGGACTTAATAGTTTATCCCTGTTCCTCTAATACCAACAAAGACTGAGGACATAAAGGGACCTTTTCTGGAGGTTTTTATAATTTTGGCTCATCAAAGTTATAAAATCTCTTGCACTGGGAGATTGTTGGACCCCAGAGGACAGGTGTCAACCAAAGTACAGTGTGCTAAAAAGGAGAGAGAAAAGTCTGCACACTTCTATCAGAGGCCACACGGTCAAGCGTGCCTGTGGCTGCTGACCCTGCCAGAGCAGCTGAGACTCTGTTCATGGTTCCAAAAGTAACCTTGAAGGGGCTTCATTGATGTTGATAGGTAACAAGGGATTAATTTTGATTAACACAGGTCTCACTTTAACTTGATCTTAAACACACAGCATAAAAGTATAAATAAGAGATGTATAAAAATAATACCAGAGTAATAAAGGCTAGATATAGAAAGGGGGCTCCAAGCACTGACCCCTGCTGGCAATTTCCAGCTCACTTGTAGCTGACCATTGTTGTGTTTCAGTGAAAAGAGAAACCTACATTGAAAGCTATAAAAGCTAAACAAGAATTCTGTAAATCCTTAGCTAAAATTGTCCTTCAAAATCATCAAACCTTGTATCTTCTTAATGTTAAAAGTGGGAGAATTTAAATTTGAGACAAATATCAGACTTACAGAAAACTTCTGTAAGGAGAGAGATCTAGGTTTTGATGGCTATTCCAACCCTTAAAATGATGTCTGGGTGTGGCTCTTCTCTCAGTCTGCCTTTCTGTTCGAATGCTCATGCTTTGGCCATGTATCATTTAGCCTCTTGGAAAAATTTATTTATTCTCACTTAAAGACTGCCAGATTCCAAAGAAACATGCAGATGGAACCAATGACAAACATACCAAACTTCTTTTACCAGGATTCACCATCTCAGTCTTGTTAAGGGAGTTCATCCCTGCTATACCCCAACATGTCCTTTATCCAAGGCCCTTTGGGTTGGCTTTAAGGAGAAGGTCCCACTGTAATCTACCCCAAACCAATCCTTCACAGCTTGAAGCAGCTGGATTGAAACTATGCCCACTCTCCCTAACCACAATTAGGGATAGCTCTTTGCAGGTGAGGGGCTAGAGTTTGTGTCTGGATGTCTTTTCAAAGTCCCATGCAGTCATGGGGGTGGGGGTTTCAGAGGTGGCTGAATCTGTAGTTTGTGACTGATTCATGGTCTAATGTGGGGTTAAGGGTGTGAGTGCTGCACCTGCCCCGGGGGAGGAGCCTTGCATTCATTACAAAGGGAGGGAAAGAGGCTTGCTCTCCCTCTTTTATATCTCCCCTCTTTGGTATCTTCCCTCTTGAACTATTGCTTCTCTGGCATGTGCCACCCTGCCCTGAATCCAGCCAATTATGGATTGAAACCTCTACAAACTGTGAGCTAAATAAACCTCTTTTCCTCTCTAATTTTTGGTATCAGGCATTTTGTTCCAGCAACAAGAAAAGTAACTAAAATGGGGGGATATTATATGCAGCTAAGTCAAAGAAGGACTGAGCTTTCAAGGGAGTCAGTGAAAAATAAAGATATTAGCATTGTGGTTAGAAGTGTATTTGAAGACCAGTCCTCAAGATAGAGATACACAGGCCAGGGCTACATGCCTCCCTAAGATATAACAGTAACTTGAGTTTGTACTGTAATTAGTACAACTTGGTCCAGAAAGTTTCGCTAGACATCAGTCACCAGGGTGGTTGACCAGAGCATCCAGGCTCATCTCTTTCCAAATATGTCTTGCTCTTTCCATGTACCCACACTGGGTGACTTGGTTCCCTGTTGAATCAATAGTAGCTAAGCAGCTCTATTTGTAATCCTATAGGTGAACTGTAGTTTGACCCATGTGGTACCCACATTGTGGCTTTGCTGTATAAACTATCCCTGACAAAGGACCTCAGTAGCAACCTGCTTTGGGGACCCCCCTATCTCTCAGGAGCTCTCACAATAAATCTTTCTGACTCTTAATGTCTGTTGTTCTTTAGAACTCATTCTTTGATTTCAGGGACACAAACCTGGCGCAGGTTGGGAGTTATGTTTCTCCTGTATCACAAGGCGGAAATGGTGTGATGGAGTTCAGGGCAGATGAAAAGCTACTCATGACATGGTGGCCAAGAAACAGAGCAAAGAAGGCAGGCGTCAAAGAGGAAGATGTACCCGTCCAGGTCACGCCTGTCTCTTCTGTCCAGACCCTGCTACCTCACAGCACAGTTAGCTGATCATATTCAGGTGATTCCAAATGCTTAAACCATAACAAAACTAAAAGTAGATGTTTGCTTCTCACTGTATTTTCAAATGCACACATCACTTACCTAGTGATTAAAATAATTTCTTTTAGGCATTCCTGTGGGGAATCATGGTTATTTTAGCATTGTTTCTTTAAAAATGACATTGCAGCTGAGTGATAAGTCTATAGTAGAACATTAACTGCACTTTTATAAGCCATGCTCAAAAGCCATGCATGCATCACTAGATCATCTAACAGCTTGTTATACGTTAAAGGATACGCTTTCTTCCTCTATTACAATCTAACATCAAAAGTCCCCCACCAGAACAAACATACATATTTTATTCTGATCCCCTTGACTGCTGACATTGGTCAATATTTACACATTTGTCAACTAATTTCCCTCAGAGAGACTGTTTCTGGCAATGCCAAGGGCACTGAACCCTGCCAAATAAAAACATTACGTCCTTCTTCAAACAACACCTGAGTGTCCTCGGAACTGAGACGGATAACAATGGAACCATGTGACCTGATGAAATCATCCCTGGGATGACATTTCCAGATCCTTCCCGTACATTAAAATCAAATATAACGATCTCAGCCTTTCTCCCTCATTATGAGGTCTTCTCTTGGACTCGCCTGCTGCTGTCTTACTGTGCAATGATAAATTCTTAAATTTTCTATATTCCTTGACTGTTAGTGGTAAGTTCTTTTTTAACACCTACAGCACCAGCCTTTGCTAAACTGTACCTCAGTTGACAATTTCTTCTGTCAATTTACCCCCCTAACTCAAATTCTTACAATTCCTTATAATCTGGATAAGATCTCCAGAGTTAGGATAAATATAACACTTTGTAACAAGGAAAACTTAAAGGGGAGACATCTATAGGGAAAAACTTGAAAGTTTTGGGATCTCCTGAATAATTCAGCTGCAAAGGCTTCTTAAAGAAATGACTGATCACTGCTGACATTACCAAAACAAAAAAGGAACCATTCTCCTGGAACGCTCTGTGAAAACATCTGTTTGAAGTGCAGACATATAGGATGCTGAGGTACTTTCTACTAATTCTAAAGCAGCAGTCTGCGGAGCCCAGTATGGGTGTACACACCTGCAATCCCAGCACTCTGCAGGCTGAGGTGATAGGGTGGCAAATTTGAGTCCAGCCTGGGAAACAGTGACTTAGTGAGGACCTGTCTCCCCCAAAAATCTGTGGCTCAGTGTGACGGCCCAAAGTTCAATCCCCACCACAAGAATGAAAGAAATAGAAAAGAAAAGAAACAAAACAAAGGAACTTCTCTGTAGCCTCAGACACTGCTGGACTTCAATCATCAACTCATCTTTCAGTGTCAGCTCAGTCAAAAGAATGACTGCCTTCTTAGTGAACGTTTGTGGCCAGGCTTTTCTCAGGCCTCCTCTAAAAATTTAATTATAAATAACTTAGGGGAAAGTCTTGAACTGATGAGTTACCATTTCAATGGTCAAAGTTAATAGCAGGCCTCTGGGCATCTCTCTCATCTCCGTGAAGCTGTCAGCAGGTGCCTCTAGTCGCTCTCCTGTCGTCTCCTGTCTGTACTTGGCATCCTTCTCTCCCCAGCCTCTAGGATCCCTCCAGTTCTAGAATATGCTTATTCTGATTGTCTTTTCCCATTTCCTCTTCCTGTCCAGCTTTCTTCCTCCTGTACCCTCATAAATAAATACTCAACTTCTGCCCTGTGTTAGGATGTGTGCTAAAGTCCTGGTATTTAGCAGAGACGGATGATGCTTGCTGGCGTATGTATGTATCATGCTTCCCTTTGTCCCAGTCTCTCTACTTTGTTTTATTTTTCTTTCTACTTCTTGGACTTGTGTTAACTGAGTATAATTTAGGATTAAATTTAAAGGATATCACATGCGTATTGAATGTAATGTTCTACTTTCAATCCTACATTTTAATGTTTTTTTTTCCAAAATCCAATATAAAACAATAACTAAAGTTAATTAAATAGAGTCTTCGGCATTGACTATATATTCAGAAACATTATTAATTCTCAGCAAAGTGTAGTGAGGTGATTCACATCAACTTGTCTCATTTATTTCTTCATTTTTGTCATTATCATTAGTGTTGTTTTTGCTCAAGACCTTTGCACTGAGTTACACCCCCAGCCTTTTAGTTTGTTTTTAGTTTTTATTTTGAGACAAGGTCTCACCAAATCTTTAAGTTGCCCAGGCTAGCCTTGAATTTACAATCCTGCTTCCTCTTCCCAGAATGCTAGGCTCACAAGCATGTCTGGCTAGTCTTACACCATTTTGGGTTAAATTTTGTTACCAAATGAATCTCAGGAGTACACTTAATAAGATTATTTTATAATTTTCAGAACTTTAAATTTTAGAATAAGGATTTAAAAAATTTGGCTTTCTGAGTAAATACCAGGCATATAATAGGTAATTGTACTTTATTTTATTGGTATCTAAAGTCAAATCAAAACATGTAGATCATGTAAAGATAAAAGCAAATTTGTTTGTTTTGTTTATTAAAAACAAGAAGATATTTCCTTTTTCCTTAGAGCATTTACTTTAAGCACTTATAATTGAAAATGTTTTCCTTCTGTTCTTGAGCTGTATGTAAATGCTTTTGAAACACTCAGTAGGCATGTCATCAGCTGCACCATCTAGGAATGACACTTTGAAGAACCTGGGAGCCAATTGTTTTGAAATATAAATATCACAGGAGCCAGCACCCCTCTGCCTCAGCTATGGAGCCTCCATGAGTGGCCACCTTTTTCCACCATGCAAAACTATCTCCTCTCATACAGAAAGATGTTAGTTGTTCCTTTGGGAAAAGCCCGTTAGCTCTGATAGATTCTCTCCTCCTGCATATGCCAAGTACTGCTTTCAACTCTTGTATGAAGATTAGTTGTTACCTTGAAAACCTGTATTGAGTCATAGCAGTTTGGCTAACATCATGGGTTGAATGTGGTTTGCTCCTCAAAGGTTTGTGTGTCGGGCCTTTGGTCATCATGTGGTGGTGTTCAGGTGGTACATGGTGTGACATGGCTAGGACACTGGAGATGCTACCCTTGGAACAGGTTAAGGTAGGTCTTATTGGATTCTGTTTCTGGGACAGTGGTTAGGAGGAGTGAGCCTTACTGTTGATTTTTTTCTCTAGTTTTCTATCTTACCATAGGATCCCTTTTTTCCTTTTTTTTTTTTTGATACAGGATCTTGCCATGTGGTGCAGGCTGGCCTTGAACTCACTATATAGCCCAGATTGGCCTCAAACTCACAGCAATCCTTCTGCCTCAGCCTCCCAAGTATGGAATTACAGGCATGCACCACCACACCAGGTAACATATGATCACTCTTGCACAAGCTACCATCATGACGTTATCCACCATGAGATCCTCAACAGAGGTCAGCTGATGGGGCTGCCCAAACTGTGAGCTGATTATCTCTTTCTCCCCCTCCCTCCCTCCTTCCTTTCTGTTCTTTCTTTATTAATCTCTTCTCTTCTTTTTTCCTCTTCTAAGTACTAGAGATTGAACCCAGTGGCCATTGAGCTGCATCCCCAGACCCTAACCTCTTCTGCGTACATTATTCAACCTCAAATATTTTGTTATAGCAACAAAAAATGGACTAATGCAGCTGCATAAGGCAGTGAGATTTCTTTGTCTCTGCAGTGTCTTATTACATTGCCTGTGATGTGCTTTATATTCTGGTTCATTGCTTATCTAATAATTAAAGTGTTTTCTTTCTCTCCTACTTTTGTGGATATTTCAGAGAAGATTTTGTTTTTAATTATATTTCCTCATAATTTATACCATGAAAAGTCACCACATTTTAAAGATAATGTTTAGTTAACTTTAATTCTGTCCTAGTATAATTGTGGTTTGCTCATGGTAATTTTCAGTTAATGTTAAATTAAAATAAATGCATAATTGCATTTATTTGCTAATGATGCCATGCTATTTATAAAGGCCTTTTATGTTCCATAGCCTAAAAGTAATATATTGAAGCTTGGTACAGAGTCATACACCTGAAATCCCAGCTACTAGGGAGGCACAGACAAGAAGATTCTGAGTTCAAGACCAGCCTGGGCAACATAATGAGACCTTGTCTCAAAAAACAAACATGTGGAAATAAAAGCTATAAGTAATACGTTGTATGTAAAGGCTCGAATTTACTACTGAGTCCAGGCAGTTGAAAGGTGTCCTTTTTAAAAGTAATACTTGTGACTCGAGTATCACTCCATGAGACAGAGCGCAGGCAGAAGTTCCACGGGTCATTTCACTGCAGATATGTGAGCTGTTGTAGGTATTATAAATCTGCAGGCATTTTCAAGATTTGCAGCTTTGTTCTGTTAAACTGTCTTTAGCTACATGCAAAAGAACAGCTGTCTTGAGGACCTTCTGGTGACACCCTGTGAATCTAGAGAAGGGGCAGGGTTTCACGACTGGCTCCATCCAGCGTTTGGATTCTGTTACCCTCTCATTCCATTGGCCGTGCTGCCCTGTGTGGCATCCTTCTGAGGCTGCTTTCCTGGAGATGATATGTATGTGCCCTGTTTTATGTCTGCCTACCGTGAGGGGAAACCTTTGCCCCAATACTTCAAGCCAGACTGCTGAGGCTCATTCTACTGCGACACCTCAGTTTACACCGCTCTCCCTGAATCAAAGCCTGTCACTCGGGCCACGAAGTCATCCTAGAGAGTAGGATCAGCTTCTTCTGAGTGGCAAGTGCTGCTTTTGGAAAACGGTGTTTTGCTTTCTTTTAGCAAGGTGGTGGTGGAAGTCAACAGATACAAAGCCAGCACCCAACTCATGATGTACAGTATAAGTCACCAAGTCTGTTACGTAAAACCGTGCAGCACAGAATCTAGTGGGGCAGACAGAAGTTGGTTCCATGAGGTTCAAGGGAAGACTCGTGCTGTTCTTGTCCTGTTTACCTTCTCACTCTGCTATGAGCACAGCAGTGATGACTCATTAGCCTGTGACACACCGACTTCACAGGAAGACCAACCTGCAGTAGTTTACTCTAGAAAATGAGCTGTGGAGGGTGACTGATGCATGCAAGAGCCAGTACAAGTTTTTTGTACGTCTTTCTGTGTATCATGACCTGCAGTCTTAATCTTTCCTTCCCTTCCCCTTCTCTCCCTTCCCCTTCCCTTCCCTCCCCTCCCCTCCCCTTCTCTCCTCTCCCCTCCCTTTCCCTTCCCTTCCCTTCCCTTCCGTCTTTCCTTTCCTTTCCCTTCCCTTCCCTTCCCTTCCCTTCCCTTCACTTCCTTTTCCTTCCCTTCCCTTCCCTTCCCTTCCCTTCCCTTCCCTTCCCTTTCCCTTCCCTCCCCCCCCCTCCCCTCCCCTCCCCTCCCCTCCTCTCCTCTCTTCTCTTCTCTTACTTTTTTTCTTCAGTACCGTAGTGAGAATTTAACCAGGGTCACCATACTGAGCTATATCCCCAGCAGTTTTTTAATATGTTATTTTGAGACAGTGTTAGTAAATCAGTAAGTTTTGCAGGCAGAATTTGAATTTTTGATCCTTTGCCTCAGCCTCTCAGAGTGCAAGGGTTACAGGCGCATGCCATCATGCCCAATGACCTTAGGAATCTTACACTGAGATATTCACATCCTTGGATGATAGAGTCTCTGTCAACCTGAACCATGTGATAAAATGGTACAGAAGGCTTTGCCATTCTTGCTGAAACAGCATAAGTAAGAAACTTTGGCTTTATTAATCTACAGTTAGGGGGTGAATATTGCATCATAATCTAGCCAAGGCTGTCTAGAGTAGAACTGCTATTTTCCAGTAGTTACTATACAAAGGTCCACCTAAGAATAATATTCTTTTTTTTTTTTGTCTTTTTCCTTTTTATCGGTACCAGGGATCAAACTCACGACTGCCTGCTTGTAAAGCAGGTGCTTATGCCACTGAGCTAAATCCCCAGCCCCAAGAGTAATATTCTTAAGAGCACAAATAAGCTAGATTGAAAATACAGCTTTTTGCCATTAAATTGAGAATTTATAATGTTTTTGTATTCACATATGACTTTCACATTTCTTGACTTTTTTCTGTGTGTTTTATTCCTTTTCTTCCTGACTTAATGATGTATTGGAAAAGAGATTTTCATTGCAGGTTATAGCGGAGCAAGGTGCGGTTGGAACTATGCAGTCTAACCCATGACTAAGGAAGAGATTTATTGACTCTCAAACCACATTTGCATCATGCTGTATGTCAAAACTGTTTCTCTGAATAAATACAATAGGTTTCTCTGTTAAAATTAAGCCATATTTCCTATGATTTTCTAAAAAGAGGAGACCATAATTAGCCTTTCTTTTAAAAGAGTAAAACAGTGTACTGCATTTTATTTGAGATAACTGGTTAGATCTTAATATTTACTTTATGCTTGCCAAGAAACATGAGAATGATTTAAAACTCTTCTTTATTCTATTTAGTGAGTTATTCTAACAAACTACAAATCTAACACCATATATTTCTGGAAAATAGCACGGGAATATTTTATTATAAAGAAGTTCAAGAGTTGGTCATATAGCTTAGTGGTAGAATATATAACTAAGGAGCCAGGGATATAGCTCAGTGGCACAGCACCTGCCTGGCAAGCACGAGGTCCTGAGTCCTGACTCCCACTAACAAAGGGGGAAAAAAAAATAGAATGTATAACTAGTATGTGTGAGGCCCCGGGTTCAATCCTCAGATGGGGGCTGGGGGGTCAGTTACAAAAAAGCATTTTTTTCTAACTGAAAGCCCAAGGTTACAACAAATATATCTTGAAATGTGACAAGGCTTGGTATATTAGAGATTGTATTAGGGGGCCCCAAGTCACCCTCAGGCTTGTGATTTACTGGAAGAATTCACAGGGCTCAGAACAGCAGCTGAATGCTTGGTGATCTTTATTTACAGGGAAAGGATACAAACAAAAGAAATAGGAGTATCCAGGTATAAGTTTCTCGGGTTAGGGTTACGGTTAGGATTAGGGTTAAGGTTAGGGTTAGCTCCAATCGGACTCCTATGGGATTTGCTTAATTCTCCAACAGTAATGTGTGATAACTCATGCAAAATGCTTTGAATTACAAAAATCCTTGCTGTCCTTGGTATCCATGGCTTGACTGGAGCTCAATCATGTGTCCTGGTAGTGCCAGTGTGACAGATCACAGCTCCAGTCCCTACTCCTGAGCCTCACCACAGCAAACAGCCATGCACCACAAACACATCATGTTCCAAGAGCTTGGGTATGCAAAACCACTTCACAATCTCCAGGTAGGATGTGCCTCGGGCTCAGGAGCTATTTTCTGGCAACTGGCCTGAAGACTGGCTTGCCCTTGGGATGGGAAGGACTTAAAGACCAGCTTTATGGTATTTAAAATGGAACTGAGAACATAAGAAATTATAACTCATAGGAGTGTAATAAAAAGAAATAAAGAACTGTGTGCAAACAATTTTCATATTTTATTCAAGAAGTTATGGAAAGTTGGGTTTGAGCCTTGTAATAGACATCTGACAGCTTAAATGTTTTATTCATTGTCTCATAAATTTGCTGAGTACTAGGACAGAACAAAATGTTTAGTGATACAAATAGGCCACCTCTTCTTGCAGAACTGACTGTGTATTAATAAAAAGCAGAGACAAGTTGAAAGGCCTGGATAGAAAGTGTGATAAAGATACTGGTCAGGTTAATGCCAGTAGTTGGTGTAAGAGAATTTTAGATGGCCGATGTGACCAGGGTAATGGTGACTGCCAGTTGTACCAGCCATTTGCTTCATTCTGGCTGAAGGACAGTAAGTGGAAGGTGCATGGGCCCCTTATTTTCCCTGTGGCACTAGGGATGAATCCAGGCTTTATACATGTAAATGCTCTTCCACTGAGCTTAACCAGTACCTCAGGGATCATATAGTAGTTAGTTTTTTGTCACCATGATAAAATAACTGATAAAAAAATTTATAGGACGAAAGACTTATTTTGGCTCACGGTTTCAGAGGTTTCTGCTCATGGACATCTGGGTCTGTTGCTTTTGGGCCACGAGGAGGCAGAGCATCCTAGCAGGGGCCTGTAGTGGAGTGGAGCTGCTCACCTCATGGTGGACAGGAGGCACTGGGAGCGAAGTGGCCAGAACAGGGAAAGATGTAGTCCTAGAGCCCAGACCCTCAGGACCGGTTCCTTCAGCTAGGTACCACCTCCCAAGTTCCAATGCCTCCCATGATGACAGCAAATTATGAATCCATCAGGAGATTAAACTGTTGATGACATTGGAATCCTCATGATCCAATCACCTTCCAAAAGCCCCAACTCTGACCACATGAACCTTGTCAGGAGATTTTAGATCCAACACACAGCGGATGGGTTTTGAATGGAGCTTTGAAGGGCTTGTGTATATTTTACCATCTCTTACTTCCTCTGACATGGTAACACAGAAATTGCATCAGTGGCTGGATACATAGGGAGGACAGCTGTTCCGACTCTCAATTTTGCACGTGTGTGAATAAATTTTTGTACTAGTATAACCATGAAACTTCTGGGTCAACATTTTTGTTGTTGCATAGTGTGTCCTATCAGACTGGTACATTGCCTAATGAAGACCTAGGAGTCAAGAAAAATTCCAGCCTCTTCTCTTCTCTCCTCTCCTCTTCCCTTTTTCCTCTTTTCTTTTTTGAAAAAGGGCTTATTGTTTATTCATGCTGGTCTTGAACTCCCTATGTAGCCCAGGCTGGCCTCAAATTTGTGGCAATCCTCCTGCCTCAGTCTCCTGAGTGCTGGGATTACAAACGTGTTCCTCCACCACCGGTGAAAAGTCCAGCTCGAAAAGAATACCAGGAAATTAAAATCAGTTCATTGCAACTTGATCAAAAAATGCTTCAATCAAGGGGCTGGGGGTTTAGCTCAGCGGCATAAGCACCTGCCTTGCAAGCAGGCAGTCATGAGTTCGATCCCTGGTACCGATAAAAATGAAAAAAAGACAAAAAAAAATAAATAAATAAATAAATAAAAATAAAATAAAAAATAAAAAAAATGCTTCAATGTCCATTGGAAGAGTTAGTTGAAAGATAGGTGTGCTCTAGGCTTTTAAAAGCTTTGGGAGGGATTCTAATAATACATTTACATAATTCAATATATTTTGAAAATTTGCAAACCTCAAATAATTTAATCCCAAATAGTTAAGTCTGCTAATTCTCTGCTTGGAACTCCTCTGTCATACTTTTCCTCATGCCAGATGACTTTGTAGATGCTGTCAATATTTGAGTTAATTAGGAGGCCCACTGAGTTGGGGGGAGAGTTAACTAGGTCTAAGTTGACATCGTTATGTGCCTGCATTTGCTTCCATTTCTAGTTATGACATGGTTGGTCCCACGAATGAATGGCTCTCCAGACCACTCATATGTCACTGTGTCCATTCATCCCATGAAACATGAATGTTCAACACCAAAGATCATAAAGAACTTTACCGGAATGGTGTTTAGTCTGAAAGAGGACTCCACTGCCTCCTGTGTTACTGTCCTTCTATAGTGCTATGATTTATGTCTTGAGGTCCCTGAGAGCCTTGCGTGCTTACAGGTGGGCTTTGAAAGGTGACTGAATTATGGGGGCTGATGGCTGACTTGCTGTTTGGAGGAGGCCCTGAGAGAAGCAGCGGGTCACTGGTAGTGTGGCCTGGGTGGGTTCATCTCCCTGCCCATTCTCCTCGACTCATACCCTGCTTCCCATCTGCCATGTTTTCCTTTGCTTTAGAGTCAGCTGACTATGGACTGAAAAGCCAGCCAAAATAAACTTCCCCTCCCTTAAGGTGCAGGTGTTCGGTTCGTGTCTAAGCAATGAGGAAAGTGACTAAATCATGCAGCCTCCTCCCCATAAATCTACACTGGCTGTGTTACTTGGTTTTGACCCGAAAAATGTTGTAGACGGAGCTGGGTGACTTCTGTGGCTGAGTCGGGAGTCTTGGGGCTTCTCGGAACATTACTCCAGGTGAAGCAAGACATCAAACCAGACGTCCAAACACCCCCCAGACTGCCACGGCAGGAGGCAGTGACCCAGAGATGCAGGGCAGCGTGCCATTCCTGCTGTGGCTTCAGAGAGGCAGAGGGGTCAGTTTGTGCTTCCAGCCACTGAGCATCTGGGCATGGCTCTCACTCCACCCTCCATCTGACTATTGCAAAGCGAGGAGCTTGGAGTGAGCAATGCCAAGCTGAGTCCCAGAAATCTGCAGAAACTAAAGAGATGTTCATTAGGTACCAGTGCAGCATGGGAGAAGAATCCAAAGAGCCGTGATGTTTCTTCAACTTCCAGCCAGAGCCTGGGTCTGTTTCCTCCTGCATGAACTGGTTTTGTGCTGTGAAGACACTGCCAGTGCAAGGGCCATCTGTCAGCAATGCCACCTGCCTCTTGGAGCAGTGAGCCACTCTGGAGGAACCTCAAGACCTTGCTGTTGAGAGCTTGAAAAGTCTTGAGGCGATGCAGGGCGGGAGGACAGACTGAATGATTTGCAGTGTGGTGAGGCTAGACCTTCCATACCAGCCTGGACGTCACCCAAACACCTCCAGTGACTCTGTTGGCTGCCCAAACCCTGCTCAAACCCTTGACCTGCCAAATTGTTACATATAGAAAATAGTTATTGTTTTAAATTTCTGGAAATAGATAATAGAGTCAAGGACTTTCCCCAAATTTATATAGAATTAAAAACAACAAAGTATGACAATACATTGTAAAGAAAGCTCGGCATGATGGTGCACGCTTTGAATTCCAGCAAAATGTGAGACTGAAGGGGGAGAATCACAAATTTGAGGCCAGCCTGGGCATCTTAGTGACTTAGGGAGACCCAGTTTCAAACCGAAAATAATTTTAAAAGAGCTGGGGGTGGGGGGCACTTGGGAGGTTGAAGCAGAAGGATGGCTTTGTGTTTGTAGTGAGACCCTGTCTCAACAAAACAAAACAAAACAAAACAAAACAAAACAAAACAAAACAGGGCTGAGGGTGTGTTTAATCCCCAGCACCACACACACACACACACACACACACACACACACACACACACATGTAAATAAGAAAAACTAACCTAAGGTTTTTTTTTCTGTTGTAGGGATTGGATCCAGGGCCTCATGCATGCTAGGCCAATTTTTCCACTCCCACTGAACTATATCCCTCGCCAAAAAAATAAATTTTAGTCCACTGTGTGAGAGAAAAGCCTGACTTGTCTTCTCATCTCTCTGTTGAAATTATTACAAAAAATAAACAGCCAAAAAAAAAGTAAGAAAAATATAGGATTCTTCACACATTATAAAGTAATTAGTTATAAGGCAGTTAAACACTGCATGTGAGGGAAATTTGTAGTATTTATCATTTGTCTGTAAAATTTGAAATTTGTTGTGTTTTCTTCCATTTAAAATAAATTTTCAGGAGGCTGGAGATTTAGATCAGTGGCACAAGTGCCTGTGTGACAAGCACAAGGTTGCAAGTTTGAACACTGGCTAAAAATACAAAAAAATTAAAAAAAATTTTTTTACTTATTTGTGTGAGGTTTTTTTGTGTCTTGTTTTTTCTTTTTTTGTATTTTAATATTATTTTTGGTTTGTCTGGTTTTGGTTTCTTGAGACAAGCTCTCACAACATAGCTTAGGCTGGCCTCAACGTGTATCCTCCTGCTTCAGCCTCCTAAGTCCTCAGATGAATGCCACCGTACCCAGCTTCATGTGCTTTTTTTTTCCTAAAGAGCTTCTGAAGATTTTGAGAATTCCATGTTTAAAGAGAGGATTTTATAAACTTTGAAAGAGAAGGGAATAGGGGGTGGGAATTTAGCTCAGCGGCATAAGCACCTGCCTTGTTAGCAGGCAGTAGTGAGTTCGATCCCTGATACCGATGAAAAGGAAAAAGACAAAAAAAAAAAAAAAAAAAAAAAAAAAAAAAAAAAAAAAAAAAAAAAGAGAAAGAAGGGAAAAAATACAAACTGTTACATAAAATGTAGAAGGAATCAGAATGTTTATACTTTTCCATGGCACTGGAATACAAATTATAATAGAGAAAAGCACTTTAGGTTTCTAACAATAATTTCCCAGGGGACCCACTCGGGACTCCTCTGTCTCTCTTTCTGACAGAAGCTTTCTTTCTCTCAATAAATATTTCTGCTGTTAACCTCCATAAAAAATAATAATTTCCCAGCTAGACTTTGACACACTTAGAATTCTGTCAAATCAGAGAAGTGAATAAAAGTATTTTTCTGATTGGTGTAGAAGGTCTTAAAAATTAGACCTAGCTCTTTATTTTAGGAAAGCACTAAGCAGTGTGTTCCAGTATATTTAAGCTGTGCAAACAGGATATGACTTAACGCTGACACACTTTTCTTTCCAAAAATGATGCCTGTCTGCCCTAGATTGTACCTGGTAGACTGCCAGAAATATCCACAAGACACAACTGGCACTGTTGGCAGAAACACCCGAAGCACGGGGACCTCTGAAATGAAATGACGGAGTGCCCCTTATCAGTCACATTTATTAACAAACCGCTATTATACTGAAGAAAAGTGTGTATAAAGTTATGGAGGACAAAATACAGTTTACTATTTTTCTCTTTAATAGCATTGCTTATATAACTTAAACCTCAGATTTTGGTAACTAGGCTGTATTTGTCTTATCTCTATTCTTTCCTCTAACTTTGATACTGGGGTTCAAACACAGGGCCTTTGAACTAAGGACATTCTCACTGCTTTTTTATTTTTTCTTTGAGGCGGGGGCTCACTGAGTTCCTAAGTTGCCCAGGATGGACTCCAATTTAGGATCTTTTTGCCTCAGTCTCACAACCAGGCAGCAACTGTCTAGGAACATTGCCATCCCCCAAAATGCAAGACTTTGATAGTTTTGATCTCCTGGCTTTGATAGCTTTGCTCTTTAAATATTCATTCCTAAACATTTTCACTAAAGCTCTTTTGTGCGTTAGTGTATCTAAATGGAAGAATGCAAGATACATTGTTGTTACTTCTGGTTTCTTTTCCTCCTCTTCTACTGCAAGATACAGCTACATTGTTGCAGTAGCTACATTTTATTCACTTCTGGCATTGGTTCCTTTCATCCTGTGAATTTCATGGTTTAGTTATGGGTTTAGACTGTGGAGGGCTGAGTTGTTTCCAGTTTGAAGGGTTAGCAAAGCACTGGGAGCTGAAACCAATTCTGTGAGTCTCACTGATAAGAGGCAGAAAGATACTTTTTATGTGATTTAAAATATTTAATCATCCTTGCAAATCCCAAATTGACTTCCATTTTCTCAAACTTAACGACAGTTTATTTAATAAGTTCAGCTGACCATCTTAATTATACTCCTCTCCCATCCTTTTTTGAGACATGATCTTCCTATGTAGTTCAGGCTAACCGAAGAACTCATGATCCTCCTGCCTCAGCCTCCCAAGTGGAGGGATTATAGGAGAGCACCGCTATGCCTGACTTCCCTCAAACACTCTTACTGATCACCCACTCTTTAATATATGCGTATTCATTAAAGGTCATTATTAGTTTTTAGATAACCTCACATGTTAGTTGAAGTAGTTGTTGGATAAATAAATACAGCTGACACAGATCTACCATGGTCAAAATGAAGATAGATTTAGGCCTCACGATCTAAAAAGAGTGGTTTACAGAAAGCTCTAAAAACACCATCAATTCAGCCAGGAGCAGTGGCACACGCCTGTAATTTCAGCACTGTAATCCCAGGCTGAGGCAGGAGGATCCCAAGATCAGGCCCAGCGTGGGCAACCTTGTCTCAAAATGAAAAATGAAAAATAAAAAAGAGTTGTAAAGGCCGGGGGTTCAGTCACCAGTGTCATGTGTGTGCAGCCACACACTCAGTTGACCCTAAACAGCCATCTCAAGGATGCACTGTTGGTAAGAAAGAAGGAGAGTTGAACAGGAGGACGTGGATACACAAGATGCCAAAAGTAAGCAGAGTAATTGATCATGAATGTGGATTTTCTCTCATTAAACACAGGTGATTACTGGTTGGGCTGGATTCATCCTCTCATCAAGCCGGTTTTGCCCTTTGCTCCCTGAAACTGTATGAAATGTCACAATAGCTAAAAATGCTGGCTCACAGACATTCATAACTGAGATGTTAGTGTCTATGTCAGCATGAGATACAGTAGTTGAATTCATTGTGCAATTTGGTGCCTCTGGCATGATACGAATGGAGAAAGGGAAGAAGCATTTGCACACAATAATTTGCTGGTAAAAGAAAAAAAAAAAGGTAGAGTTTAATTTGTGGTTGGAAGAAAACCAGTTTTTAGAACTGAGTTGTGGTTTGAAGTCCTTTGACTCGAAGAGTGAAACATTCCGCCTGGCAAAAGGGAGACTGAATAGGACTGTGGGAGGGATGGATGTGCTGTGTTGCATTGCTAACGTCTGGCAAAAGACCTAAAAGACTAAGATAACAGGGAGAAAATAGAGCAAAAGTCAGGCATGGGAGGAGAAGGAGCACTGTGGACCAGCCGCCGACTCACTGTGGACAGCAGCGGCCCTGCAGGTGCGAGGCTCAAAGGACAGGGCTCTGGCTCTCTGGTTCATTTGCTCAGGAGACAGAACATGGGGTAACAGGTGAAATGCAATGAAGCATCTATTCGTCATTGCAAACAATATAAGCGTGTCAATTCCGCTTGAAACCGCTGACATTTTAAAAATTGGCATTTAATTTATCTAGTGATAATATTTTATTGGCTAAGGAAATATGACACTGGGGTTTAGTCTTCATGCAGGAAACTGCAGAAGAGGCAATTTGAAATTTACTATATCACTGACATTTTATGTGACTATAAATTGTGTATGAACACACTGATGTTTATCTAATTTCTTGTTCATATTCCTGAGATGTGTGGAAAGGATTTTGGGAGCATAGTGAACAATGCTACCAAAGTAATTACTTCGTGGGGGCTCTGTGGAGCAGTCAAATTCTAACATTGAATTATTTAAAGAGGTGTTGATGTTAAGGTTGAATAACAAATATATTTAACAAGAAACTAATAGAGGATGATACCAAGAAAACAGGCAAAAATGCTTAAAATATAAAAGAAAGAAAAAACAAAGTTGAGATAATGCCAAGTTTAATGTAAACCTGGAGCGATTTTGAGAAGGACACTGAGATGGATTCCTGAGTTAGAGAATTCCCTTCCCTGCTGCAAAGATTTGTACTGCAAAACTGAAGGATGGTTTCAAAACAGGCCTAGAGAACATGTCACAGGAGGTACGGGGGAAATGTAATCCAAATTTTTTTTAGCAAGAGCACGTTCCTCTCAAAGCCAAAAGCTCTTAGTGTTGGAAATGAGCTGCAAGCCCAAGTCCTGCTCTGCTCTGGTGTGGGGAGCCTGCCTGAAGCTGGCCCTAGGTGGTGGTCCCCTGAGATCCATCCCTGCCTCCCTGACGCTTCCCCAGCCCAGGGCTTGTGGGGCTCCAGAAACAGGCTCGTCCCAGGGGTGCAGAGGGTTTCTCAGACCTTTGCCACCTGCCACCCAGAGATTCTGCTTTCTGTCGCCAAGAGCCAGAACACCACACAATGGGCAGGGCTTCACAGAAAAGATTGATTTGGGCCCTAGTTCTAGAGGCTTGAGGGGCTGCACACGGTGAGAGGCGGAGTTGAGCAGGGCTGAGTCTGTGTCTCCATGTCCTTCTCCCGCCTGTTAGGAAGCCACCAGGATTCAGTCATCCTGCATCCTTCAGCCCACGACATTTTCTAATCTGAACTATTGCTCCGATGCCCCACCTCCAAACACCACCGCCAGGCTAACTTTTTTCCCTCTTAAAACTTCACAGTGGGTATTGAATCTCAATACATGAAGTTTTGGGGGACGCTCTGCACCAGAGCAGCCTTTGCTAAGGCTTAACCTGCATGGCAGGCTGAGACTCTTCCTCCCAAACCCTCTCCCGCCTTTCTTTCCTTTCCTGCTCCTTCCAATGCCAGGCCTGTTCCTTGGGCAGGCAGCTTCTCCCAGCTCCCTGGGTTCCCGCCCAGAGACCGCGTCTAGTTCCTGTCCTGCACCTCTAAGCCAGGATGGCCTCGGGCCACTGAGCAGACCTATACTACTGCCCAAGACTGTTCTTTGTCATGGTTCAGAACTAAGAGAAGGAGAGGAAAAAGAGGAGGAGGAAAGGGGCCAGGGACAAAGAGAAGGGGGTGGTGGGGGAGGAAGAGGGTTTAGCAGGCTCTCTAGTTGTCTTTTTCTGATTGGGTCCAATTTTCTACCTTTTAAAAAAATTTTTTTTTTCTTTTAAAGAGGATAAAACCAAGGAAAATAACACAGAACAAAACCAACCAAAGTAAATCAGTATAAGTGATACAGGACTTCAAAACCTTACAAAATCAACAATGATTACCATAATGCCTTTTGTTGTCTCAAAATAGCTGCAGATACCTTGGGACACAGCAAAAATCAAACAGAACAAAATAGAATAGAAACAATAAAAACAAAACAATGCATGCAATAAAAGACTTCAAAACAAGCCAATAGTAAATCCAAAATGGCTACCACAATATGAGTTGCTACCATTTAAACAGCTGCTCATGCCATCACATTTAACATAATCAAACAAGACAAAAGAGAATAAAACCTAACCCAAGAAAACAATGAAAATGATACCGTTTCCAGGCAGGGCTCACCTCCTGGTGAGGCCTGGTTCTCTCCCCCTGCAGTCCTGGAATGGTGCTGACTCATGAGAGGCTTAGGTCTGGCTGTCCCCACTTCGGTGGCGGCCCACGCATGGTGCTGGTTTCCAGGCAGGGGTCACCTCCTTCAGAGTCCTATTTTTTGAGCATCCAAGTCTTTCGTAATTTTCACTTTGGTGGCAGATAGTGGGTACGAACGTGTCCAGTAACCTGCTGTCACCTTTTCGTTTGCTGGGCAGCATTTTTTGCTCTCCAGTCATGCTCTCTGCCTTTTGTACCTGGTGGATCACTTCCTGTCCTGTCACTCTGTTCCAGCCTTTCAGGAACTTTTTCCCTTAGTCTGAGATTAGGTAAAGACTCAGACTGATTTGTGGAGATTTTTTCCCCGTTCTTCTTGACCTTACTCCCAGTTATAGCCATCACCTTGTACTTGGGGAGGATCCGAGCACTTTAGATTATTGAGAAGGGAGGCTGCCTCTCGGTACTCTCGCCTGACCACAGCCTTCAGGACTGTAACCCTGTTCCAGGTGACAGGCTGCAGGATACAGGCGGCAAATAGTTAAGGCTCACCTCCATGGCTGTGGTGCTTGGGTTCTATTCTGTAACACTGGCACAAATATTTGGGCATTAAAAGATGGTTAAGTGGTCCCACTGTGGTGGCCCATGGCTGTGGTCACAGCACTCCAGGAGACTGAGGGGTAGGATCCCCAGTTCAAGTCCAGCCTGGACAATTTAGCAATTTAGGGAGATCCTGCCTTAAAAACAAAACCAAACAAACAATATATATATATATATATATATATATATATATATATATATATGGGTGGGAATGTATGGCTCAGTACAAAGACCATGGATTCAGTTCCCAGTTGTCCTCCTGTAATGCATACAGTGTTAAATGTTTAACTAGTTTTTCCTTACCCTACTCAGCTAGTTTTCCTCCTCAGCCAACGTAAAAGAGATGGGAGTCATGCTGGGTTTTGTTTCCTAACAATATTTCATCATCTCTGAGTTTTAGTTCTCATAGATGTCTTTATTCAGACTTTTTTGAAAGGTATTTCTGAGACTGCATCATTCCTGCTTTCATGGGAGGGAATAATCTTGAAAATTTCTACATCCAATTCAGAAAGAGAAATCCCACAACATCCGTTTGTTTTCTTTTGTTGTTTGCATTGCTCACTGTTTTCTCTATCGAAGGCCACAGGTCTTACCAGATAACCCTTCTACAACTACAGCTCTTGGCTCTTGGCTGGGTTCTGTAACTGTTCCCTCCAATTATCCCCCAGACTTACCAGATTTAGGGTAATTATAACTTTCTACTCTTGTCAGTGCAGGATGCCTCACCATCCTTTGCTGGCTTCCTCTAAACTTTTGGCCCCACTTTTCTCTGCTTTTGTTTTTAATAGTCCATTTGTGAAACTCTTCTTAACTGCACAATGTAAGCCACCTATTTCCTGCTGGGGTGCAGACTGGTGGTATTTCTTTTGAGAAACAGAAAGTGGCTCCACCCACCTGGAGACAGTGAAGGCCAGGAGGCCTGGGCTGAGCAGCAGCTGAAGTGGTAGCAATGCTCGTGACATCCAGGAATAGGAGGAGGAGGATTAGAGCTCCCTGCAACATCTCTCCTGGCTCTAAAAAGGAAAGCCAAATATGAAAATATTGTTTAGCGTTGACAAGTCATTTTCTAGAATAATTTTTTGGTATACTTCTGAGCTTGGATTACATGTCTTTGTTGTGTAGAGGTGGGGGCAGAGTACTCCAAGAATTTTTTTATTATTTAATTATTTTATTATTTTAAATAATAAATTATATTAAATTATTTTATTATTTTAAATTATTTTAATCAGTTTTATTTAAGCCATAACTTCAAATTCAGTATTGAAACTTAGTTTCCATAGAAATACTGTAAACTTCAAAATCTTTTTTTTTCACCCAGAAAGTATTATGAAAGAACCAAATCTTGACTGGCCTAGCCTGGAATCCAGTAGGTGTTTAAAAAACGTGAGATCTGTGGATACCACTGAGCCTTTACCCTGTGCCAGCCTCTGCCCAAGGACTTTTAATATCCCCCTTTCAGATGAGGAATCCAAAGAAACAAGTGTGAATGAGTCCCCTCAGGTGAAGACTGCTATTTAAAGGTTCTCACGGTTCTTACTTGGGCAAAAATAAGCTCATTGAAATTCAGAACTAGACACAGCCGTAATCGCTCCCGATTTTCCTTTGCAGGGCACATTTATAAAGTTTATCAGATTTGTTCAAATCCCCATAGGGTCAGTCTGCCCGCCCTGACCCCGGTCACAGTGACAGGCCACAATCCTTCCCGTTTCTGAAAGAACCACAGATTTCACGCCCTCCTTTTATTCTTTCGCTGCTGCTTATTTTCCTCTTTCCTTCGCCCTGGCTCCATCCTCTCTGAAATCTCTCCCCCTTTCATTTGAAGGCCCGGAGGTTAATTTTAAAATCCCATGCTAAACGGTGCCACGTCATCCGCCAGGGCCGAGTTCAGGGGTGCCGTCCTGGGCTCCCCGCCCGCGCAGATCTCCGTCGGCCCGCCCTCAGCTCCTCACCTGCCCCGGGGCCTTGACACCCCTTCCCACTCCTCCCCCTCCGCTGCCCTCCCCTTCCCCGCTCCCCTCCCCCTTCCTCGGACAGCCCCGCCCCTCCCGGATCCTCGCCGGCAGAGCGCATTTATTTGCATATTGCTACCTTTGTTCCCTCCGCCAGCCAATCAGCAGGCGGGCTGAGGCGTGTGGGGGGGCGCTGGGCGGGGCCGAGATCCAGCATCCCGCGGGAGCCGCGGCGGCTGCAGGTTCCGGAGCTGGTGGGAGTCGCGCGCTGCAGCCTCGTTCGGTCCCGGCCCCTGCCCGGCCCGGCCCCAGCCCGCGGGCGTCGCCGCGCTGCGCTGCCCGGCCAGGCCCAAGGCGCTAGGACAAAGCGGCAGCCGGCGGGCCCCAGGGGGCGGATTCTCCTGCAGCAGCGGGCCAACCCGGCTCCAAGATGGTGTGCGGGGGCTTCGCGTGCTCTAAGAACTGCCTGTGCGCGCTCAACCTGCTCTACACCGTGAGTACCGCGCCCGCGCCCGCACCTGCTCGGCCGCGCCGCCGCGCCCCGCCCCGCCCGAGACCCTGCGCGCCCGGACCCGTCTGCACCCTGCTGCTGGGAACCGCGAGGCGGCGTGGCGGGGTGGCGCGCGCCTCTTAGCGGGGGCTGCGCGCTCCGATGGTTCGAACCGGGGCCGCCCGGGAGGTGCGCAGGAGACCCGCAGCTGCCGAAGTTTGCCTCCCGAGGGGGCTGTGTTTCGTGGTTGCCGTTGCGGGTTTCCATGCTTTTTCCGTGGTCCGCGCCCCTCCCCCAGTACCCTCGCTCCGGTTTAAGCCAGGATCGCCGGTTAAATAAACAGCCGCCTCCCAGGTCGCTGCTTTTCGGGCCAGGAGGCTTAGGCCTCTTCGTTCGAACCTGCAGGCTCTCTTGGTGGGGCTGGAGGCGCAGTTCTGGGTGAAAAGGCGGAGGTTAAGTTGACGGTAATTAAATGGCTACCACATCCCAGGTTTTACGTGCATGGTTTTTGTTCGTTGTTCTGACAACTCTTGGAGGCTAGCGGAATTGTCTGCGTTTTTATATGTAAAATAAAAAACAAAAAGGGGCTCAGTAAGTTTTCAAGCTGGTAGTTGGTGGATTGAAAGAGGATACCTTGCCTTGCAATCCAGCTCTTTTTACAGACTGCCTCGAGGGTGGGAGAAAGTCCCTCTTTTGCCACCAGCCCTTCATCTTGGTCGTGCTCCCCTCGATTGCATGCTTGCACCTCGTACCTGGCAGCACCCACCCTGAAAACAAATCCGGTCTCCTGCGTTAGCGAGAGCGAGGCCATTTGGGCAAGCTTAGGTTACATCCTTTGGAGAGAGAGGCTGGGTCATTTTACGCTTATTGTTTCTTCTCTGGGATGGTGGCAGGGCAGGACAGAAGCAGGCGTAGTGTATGTTGTGGCTTGTTAGGAATCTGGTCAACGCAGTCACTAACGCGAGATGGGAAAAACATTTCCAGAACACCTGGTGGTATTTGGCTATACATAGCAAGTTAGAGCTCACAGTCCACCTGGCTCACGTGAGGCATGTGTGTCACATTATTGATTCAGTAAATGCTGATCCGTTCTTTCATCAGCCTACAGGGTCTGCTTAGAATTTCAAATTTTGTCTCTTTGCGCCCTAATTCTTTTTTTCTATTCTATTGATTTTAATAGCTATGCGGTAAAACAACTAATTCATGGGACGATTAAAAATGATTAGTCCTTTAAAATTTTTGGACTTTTAGGACAAAGGAATATTTCTTAAAATAAATTAGTGGGGGGTTGGGGATTTAGCTCAATGGCCTAAGCACCTGCCTTGCAAGCAGGCGGTCGTGAGTTCAATCCCCGGGACGGATAAAAAGAAAAAAAGAAAAAAAAAATAAATTAGTGGTGAGTAGGTAAAGATAAATTCAGCAGCTTGAATTGGAAGTGAGCAACGGGAAAAGTTGTGTTAGGTCTTTAATAGATGCAGAAAATGTCCCACAGCAATGTTTTGGTGTCTGCATCTTGCCTGGCCCCGCAAGATGTGAGGTGGTTGAGTGTAAGGTTGAGTTGAGGACCTGGGAAACACTTCTTTATAAAACATGAATAAAAGGGCCCTTTGTAGGTTCTAATCCAGCCCTGATCACTGCCTCTTAAGTACCCACGGAGCTGCAGGCCTACGTCTGAGGCCATTTCTGAAAGCGGAGTAGGAGCAGACTTTCGTCGGGGAGTAAAGGCCATGTCTTACCTCCTGCGTCATCACTGTAGCAGTGAAGCCTTATCCACAGCGAACTTGGGACTCCACCAACTCCACTGCCCATCCTGTGGTATTGTTTAATGAGCCTCTGATTTCTGATGACTTCATGATCAGTCCAGAAAGCAGGGCTCAAAAGCCAATTGGAAGAAACAGCCCCAAATTTGTCGTGGAGACTTGACAGTTATGCAGAGGTTACCTGTTGATTTTGTCGGGGGGGGGGGTTTGGTCTACCTTGATTGTGTTAATTGAGGAATTGTCAAGTACTGAGCTTTAGTCACTGCTAGTGAACAGTTTGTAAGCGTGTAAGAAGAGTTGCGATAACCCCTTAATGTACCTCCCTGGTGTTGTAGCGGGAGAGAGTGACTTGCTTTGGAATGCTCTGCGTTGAAATCATTCTTCATTTAGCCAGGATTGAGTGCCTACTGTGTGCCAGCTCAGTCTGGAAATACAGCAGCAATCGAAACAGGACTCTAAAGTCACTATGTCTTTATGAAGTCTCTGTTTTCTACCTTTTCTGTATATGATCAGAACTGTGTATAGTCATAAACATTTGCCTGCTGTGTGCGCCTGAGAACTGTGGGGTAGAAATAGTTACAAAGAGAAATACTTGTCCTATTAGGACAGGAGCAATTAAGTGGTATATTAGGTGCCCTAATATTTAGGACTGGGGAAGGCCTTTCTAGGGTAGGAATAAAGATGATTGAACTGGGGGAGTGGTAGAAATATTGTGGAGCTACCTGATACTTCAAAATAAAACCTATTTTGGGAACATGATTTTTTAAAAATAGTATGTCTTCATATGAATATATTTTGGCAAATAGTGAAAATAACTAAATTTGTGAGGAGTTTCAGGAAATATGAAATTAATGTATTAAAATACGTATCATTTTGATTTTTTTTCCCCTTTTTGAGACAGGGTCTTGCTATGCAGTTCAGGCTGGCCTTGGTCTCACTTCTTAGATCAAGCTGACCTCCAACTTGCAGCAATCATCGTGTGTCAGCCCCTGCCTCCTGAGTGCTGGGATTACAGGAGTACGCCACCATGCACAGCTAGAGCCTTGTGGATCACTTTGTGAACTGAGGGTTGGATAGTATGTGGAGCATCTCGAGGGGTTTTTTCTGTACAGGAAATCGAATTTACAACCTCATGCTTTCCAGGCAGGCACTGTGCCACTGGGCTATATCCTTGACTTTTTTTTTTTTAAGTTGTGAAGGGAATCAAACCCTAGAACTTTGTGCATAGTGGGCAGATGTTTATTCACTGACTGAGCTACTCTACATATTCCTTTTTTTTTTGTCTGTCTGTTTTGTTTTTGGTACCGGGGATTGAACTCATAACCTTGCCCTTGCCAGGTGGGCGTTTATGCCACTGAGCTAAACCCCTGGCCCTATGTGTTCCAGTTCTATATAGTACATATTTAGGTACTTCCTTTTCTTTCTCCTCTTACTCCCTACCTTCTTTTCTTATTTAATACAAAACACGAAACCTAGAACTGTACGTAGGCTAAGCAAGGGCTCTACTGCTGAGCTGCATTCCATCTCTTATTTGTCTGCGTCTTCCTAGGCGGCTAAGTCTGCTTGGATCTTGTGATCTTCTTTCCTCCGCCTCCAGAGTACCTGGTATTACAGGTGTGCACCACCGTTTGGTTCCTTGGGCTTCTTAACCAGAGAAGAGAGCTCTCTTGAAAAAAAAAAAAAACAAAAAAAACCAAAAAACAAGTTGAGTGGCTGACTGTTAAATGGAATCAAACTGAAAAATACAACCAAAAATGAATGTATTCACTCTGTGTGGACCTTAAAGAATTGTACTCCAAGAAATATGTCCATATATGTATAATGAATGTGTATGGAGCAGAAAATGGCTTATGGTCTTTAAATCAAGAAGGAAATTTCACAAGTTTCAGTTCTATTTCTTTTTTTGTGTGTGTATTCTTCTAAAATCTGGGTTTTTTTTCCCCTTCTTTCATTTGTGATTTTTCTCCCCATATACCTTTGGTTGTTTTGAGAAAAGTCTTCATGTACTATCAGAAATTACAGTGGTAACTCCACATGCACTTGATTCTTTCTATGATTCTGGTTGCAAACCAAATTAGATGAGAACCAGATCAGATTCAGTGGTCAGGTTCAGTGTTGACCTTACGGGGAAATTTGATTTCAGTTCTCACTGAACTGGATTTGAAACCAAAATCATTTTAAGACACATTGACTTATATTTTAACATCTATGAAATTTGATACATTTTCTAGTAGATAAAATGTACTATTACTGGGCCGGGGACATAGCTCTACATCACAAGTGCCTTCCTGGCAAGCACAAGGTCCTCCTGAGTTTGGTTTCTGATACCCCACTCCTCCACCACAACTGTCAGATAATGAAATAAATCTCTATAGTTTACGGAGAAAAAAACTACTGGATTTGTGAAGAAAACAAACCTTTCCAATTCTACCAATGTATGTAAAACAACATTTTATTGGGTTATTAGTTCCTTCATTTGTGAATTGATGACATTTTTTGTTCTCCCTTTATGGTGTTAATTTAAAATAAGATGTATATAAATGCCTTGAATGTACAACAGAAACAAAATTAATTTGCTGCAACTTCAAGTGGAAAAAGTTAACATATTTTAAATCTTTAATCACAAATCTTTGTGCATTAATGGAGAGATTATCAAGCTATTGGCATTTAAAGCACACACAGGCTGTTAAGTCAGTAGCCTGCTCCAAGAAGGAAATTAATTTGTCAGTTGCAAGAAGTGACTGAAAAAAGAAGTGACTGAAGTGTGGTAAGTATGAATTCAGAATTAGGATTCTAATTTTTAGACTTAAAATTTTTGATTTAGCTGTATTTTCTTTTTTTTTTTTTTCAGTGCCTCAGTCTGATCCTTAGAATGCTGGAAAATTACTATTTTTGTTTAGCCTCAACTTCTAAATAAATGAAAAATAAAATCTTAATATTTTAGCCAAAGGAAAACTTCAGTTGCTTTCAAATGATAGTGTTTCCATTTCTCAAAATTTCAGTTACTTTTCAGATTATTTCAGTTAATTTTTAAATGTGTGATTAGAGGTATAGTATTATCTCTTGTTTAAATCGCTGAATGTGTTTAATGGGTTGCTAGATGTTGACTTGCATTTTAAGCTAGGAAAATGATTCACTACAGAATGTGAGCATTTTCAGAGAACGTTATTATAATGCTATTTATAATCTTTTACACCTTTTATTTTTGGTATTGAGGATTGAACCAGAGACCTCACACATGCT